GGGGGGGGGTAGGAGAAGCATAGTGATAATTTGACCTTCACCATTCTTATTCAATAGGAGACAATTTATTAAACATATAATAATATGACTGAACTCAAGATGAACTTGCATTATCAGGAAAGGAAAAGAAAATTTTACTAGTGTCTCAAAATTGAAGAAAAATACCTAAAAGTTACAGAATTATACACCCAATGTAGCTGCTATTCTTTTAAGAGGATTTGTGTTTACCAATGATATGGCATATTGCTTAGTATCTGAGTTATAGATTGGAGCTGACCAGACGAGGTTAGAATGTAGAGATGAGCTAGTCTAGCAGTTTGGTGATGTCTCTATTATGTTATGTTCTGTGGCTAGCTATTCTGAATATTCATTTAAAAAATCTAATTGTATCGTTTCTTTTCCATTCTTCTGGGTTTGCTGCAGGCGGAGGTTTTGGGGCTTGATCCCAGAGAAGTAGATGTTCCAGTTGTAGGGGGACATGCTGGGGTTACTATCTTACCTCTTCTATCCCAGGTTTGGCAGAACTCTTCTGAAAGATGAAATTTTCAATTTCTGTGTAAAATGTCATTTATGATATTCTACATGTAGATTGTTGTTCCCCTTTATACAGGTTAAGCCTCCCTGCTCTTTCACCCAAAAAGAAATTGATTATCTGACTGATCGCATCCAAAATGGTGGAACAGAAGTTGTTGAGGTAAAATCACATTTGCACTTGAAATTGAAAAAATTATACTTTGAGCTGAGTTTGGGATGTCTCTATTTGCTGGTGGTAACAGGATATTAGCCTTGTAATTATGTTGACAGGAATAAACCTGCCTCACGTTTTGGTTCTTAATCCATATATAACAATGTCACTCTTATTCATCAACTTTTTTGGTGTATGTTGAACAGAAACCTTTTACACTCATGTATTCAGTTAGCAGTGGATAAATCTCAATTAATAACTAGAAGATTGGGGGAAAGTGGAAGAACTGAAGAAAGAAAACAGAAAGGCATTGGTAATTTGTAAAAACTAGTTGGTAAAAAACTTCTAAAATATCAATTAAGGAAGAAGTGATGATCAACAGGTCCCAGGACAACCATGATCCATGAGCAACCTCATCCAAACCCAAAAGGAGAGACCAGAAAGCTTCTTAGTTTGTTAGGCTTTTGGTCTAAGAATTTTTTGACTAGTGTATGGTGCAGTTAGCTACCACTTTAAACTGAATTCTAACTCCCTTTTTTTCTTTTTTCTTTTTTTTTCTGAATGTTTACTGAAAAAAAGTAAATGCATTTTTTATGATTGTTTTATTGGTTGTGTCGTTGATGATTTACCTTTGTAGATTTATTTTAGTGAGGGCAGATTATTCAACAGTACAAATGTCTATGATTAGTGATAGAATATTGCAGCTTTGCAGGTTATGTTGCTCTATCTGTCGCTTGGCGTGAGAGGGTGGTCATTTAGACCTTTGCCTTTGTAGTTTCTTCCTTGCTTCATAAGTCATCATTTTGAGGGAACAATTTTCTGCAGGGATGAAAAATAATTTCAATCTTTTTGTCAAAATGTCACGAAAAGCACCCTTTTACGTTCATGGATGCAGCATGTTTTGCACTTGCACCGTAGACTAATTGCTTATTGTACGTTTTTCTGCAAAGCTTTTCCCCTTAAGTCACTAATTTTGAGTGGCATCATTGCTTTGTGTCAATTATGTATCTTAAGCTAGAAGGTGAAGGGTCAAGATATGTTTTTAGATCAAATACTTGGAGTTTTCACCTTTCAAATAAAAAAAAAAAAACTCAGTTTTTGGTAATAAGTCCATATTGTAAATTTTGTTATATTCTAATATTCTCGTGCAGTTAACTTTACATGCTAGAATCTTAACAATTCCCTGCTTTTGGTAATATTTGCAGGCCAAAGCTGGTGCTGGATCCGCAACATTATCAATGGTTAGTCAGTTATTATTCTCTCTATTTTTCTCTCACACATACACACTCATTTGCGCATGCACACTTGACACAACACAAATCATATGTTTTTTCCATACAATGCTCGACTTTATCTAGATCTACTCAGATGAATTTAAACTTGGGAATTTAAATAAATTGCAGGCATACGCTGCGGTTAAATTTGCTGATGCATGCCTCCGGGGCCTAAGGGGAGATGCTGGTATTGTCGAATGTGCATTTGTGGCCTCTCATGTAAGTTGCCACAGTAAAGAACACAGTTTGTTTGTCATTTGTCACACTGAATTAACAGTTTTAGATGCAAACTGAAAGGTTGCTCCTTGTAGGTGACTGAACTACCCTTCTTTGCATCCAAAGTACAGCTTGGCCGATCTGGAGTCGAGGAAGTATATCCTCTTGGCCCCTTAAACGAGTATGAGAGGTCTGTTACTCTCACTTCTGGAGTTTGAAGAGACTTTTCAATTTTAAACATTTATCTTATGTATATACAACACTTTCACATAAACTTACATTGATTCTTGACAGAGTGGGTTTGGAGAAGGCAAAGAAAGAATTAGCGGCGAGCATTGAGAAGGGGTTTTCCTTCATCAGGAAATGATTATGTGACAATAACTCAAATTCGCTTTCAGATACATACATGATAGTATTTTACTATGATCTAATAAACAAGATTTCAAGAAATAAGTGACAAAGTGGTACACAAATCATCTGATATTGGTTTGCAGGCAAAGTGGCAAACCAACAGGGCAGGAGCAGAGAGATGTATGTGAATGAACTTATTGTAATATATCGATGAACAATTTGTAAATTAGGGACATGTATTTTTTTTTTAAAGTTTTGTTTAATATGGTTGTGATTTTGAGTTTTTAATTTTAGTTTTCAGTAATTTAAAATCTTTAAAATAAAATTAAATAGTTTTATAAATTAAGTTTGGAGTTTTGAATATTTATTTTAAAATTTTATATTCAATAAATTAGTAATTTTAATATTTAATTTTAATTATTTAAATTTTAAAAATATAAATATAAAATATAAAATTACAATCATACTGAATAGGACTGAAATAAACAAAAATTTTAATAAACCAATAATTCTGCTATTGGCAGTAAATAAAATTTTTAAATAATGAAATGATGATTTCCCTTAAGAGTCACTGCTTCCGTTGAGAAGCTCCTGGGCCATAATTTATCCAAAGCCCAAAGTCTGTGCCTCAAATCCAATTCACCTTGCCCGTCCAGCCCAAAAGATTGGATGTTCTTTGGACTGAATCCAGAGACACATCATCGCAAAAAGGAAACAAACAAACAACAATCAGAATTAATTTCATCAAACATTGTTGTCTTCGACTGTGTGTTTTGTTCCGACATCGTGTGCTTTTGTGGTAAAAGGGACCAGTCAGCACGTCTGCCCCAGGAAACCAGTCTTACTTTTCTGGCTGTTGAGACTGAAAGATCATGCAACACATTACTAACCCACTTGTGTTTTTGAAGCTTTGACTCTTCAGTCCTCATTGATAGGCTGAGGCTGCAGCTGCACTCCACTGCCCTGAACCAACTGTAAATGAAATACAATGCAAAGTTAGGTGTGGACAATCATGAAGCAGATGGAGCCCCTTAGGCTTTAAATTATTAGAGTAGGAGAAGTATCTCCCTTCTTATCTTGTTCATGCATGCTTATCCTATCTGAATTCTACAATCCCCCGTCCTTTTCTCTCAAACCCTACAAATTTACCATTTCTTAATTTTTCATGAAGATTGACACAACACATAACACCATATAATTTGGATTGCTTGCACTTGCAGCAGTAGTAGTTGCGTTGGAAATGCATCCAAAATTCGTGACCTCATATCCACCTGTTTTGAGCTCCATGTTGTTTGTGCCTTTGCATTATTCTCCCTTACCTCCAAATTTCCGTGTTCAATACACACGTATATATAAATATATATATATATATGTGCGTGTGTGATTAGTACTTGTCCGTCTTATCTTCAAAAAAATTAGAAGGAAAAAGAACAAAAATCACCTGAATGCATGCTTTAAAAATATGATAGTTTAGTCTTTTTCAATAAAAATTTATTGAAACAACGTATTTTTGAGATGATTTTCCTTTTAATTTTTAAGAGGTAAGATTGATAAGCATTATTTTCTATATATATGTATATATCCTTATTTAGTTTGAAAGAAGCAGAGGAAAGCAAAACAGAAGAGAGATAATATTTTTCTATTTTTCTTCACCTTCCTCAGCTCCCCATCCCACGTTTGATTATGCTAAATTAATTATAAAAAAAAATGGAAAAAAAGGAAAGCTCCTCTCCTTCCCTTCTTTTCCCATTTTTATTATCTAGAAATGAAAATTCATCCCCTCTCCTCTAACTAAACAAGCTGATAGTTGTTTTGTTTTTAATGAATTTTGCTTTCTCAATCGTTCTAATCCAAAGTGGGCCAAAAGGAAAATAGGGTTTCTACTCAAAAGGAATTAAAAAGGGTAGGCTTTTGAAAGTTGAAAATTTAAGTAGTGGAGTGGACTTAGGTTAAAGGTTGCTTTAATGGGATATGATTTATTTTGGAGCCCATGTTCATGATATTTCTTCCTCATGTACTTTGTCCCACATTATTTTTTTCTTCTTCATTTGTTGATGTGTTCAACTTTGTGCTATAAATAAAATATTACAAGACATGTCAGTGCCAAGGTCCAACTTAGTGAAAAACTTTATCATTCCCTTTACAGCTCTCTTTTCAGTCTCTCTGTGTGCCACTATCCCACATTTTTTTTAAAAAAAAAAGGCATGCCTTTGAACATGAAAAGGCCTCCTCCTCCTGCCTTTCCTTTTGCATTCCTTGCTTCACCTCAATCCCCTCAGCTCCTCACTGTGTTCAATTGGTCCTCATTATGCAGAAATTAATAGAGGCATATTCTATCAAAGCACTCGCTTTATGATTTTTTTTATTATTATTCATCTTAAAGATTCTAATATAAAATCTCTAATTTAAAATTTTCATTTTAAAAATAATTGAATCATCTTTAGAAAAAGATGTACAATAATTGAACTATTCGCTAAATGAAATGAACAAAGCCTATGATTCTTTTGACATGAGAACTATGGTATGTCTGTGCGTGAATCAAGCAAATTTCCCAATGAATCAGTGTCCTTACTACCGACTTTATGTCATTCTATCTTAAAATTTGGACTATCCTGTCTCTCATCTTTAGCTCACATATTCATTCTTTTTCCCTTTGGCAGAGGTATTACCAGGACAATTTCATTTCATGAAAAAGGCTGTGATATGGGCCCTGTTATTTCCATTTTTTTTTTCTCAAGATTCTTTCCAAGGTTAAAAACACAATTATTGGTAAAATTCCATTTTCTGTCTCAACCCTTCCTTTTTCTTTTCCCTCCCCTGTAGCTGAAAGATCTTTTACTCTATCCCCTGCAGAGTATAGATTCTATCTCAAGTTCATACAATTCGATGTCACGAATACAGTTTAAAACTTCAATTCTAGATCTGTAAAGGATACACCAAGTACCACTAAAATCTTTAAATTATAATGTATTTTTTTAACCTAAAATAAGAATAAT